CTGTGCAGAGTGGCCCAGAGATGGGGTCGGGAAGAGTTTGGCAGGAGGAAGGAGGGCTTAGCTGGCTGTGTGTCAGGCATAATGTGAAATCCAGAGCAGTTACCATGTTTCTGCTTGCCAGAACTGCCCTGGCATTTACCCGGCCAAGTAGAACCCAGCAGGTGGGTGCCTGTCACACAGAGATGTCCGAACTCCAGAAACTAGGCATACCCACAAGAAGAGAGTGGAAAAGAGAGAGAGAGAGAGAGAGAGAGAGAGAGAGAGAGGTGACTGTGTTGTAAGACTTTATTTCAGACTCTGCTTCTCTGGCCTGTAGCACTGGGTGAGGCTGGGGCTTCCTGGTGTGTGTGTGGGGGTGGGTGAGGGAACCTCCAAGATTCCTGGAGGTCTTTGGGCCTGTTGCTCCCAGGGCAGGCACAACAGAAGGCTCTTCCGACACAACCACCCCCTGTGTTACATGTGTCATTACCCTACGTAGGCCTCAGGGCAAGCCCATAGGAGTACCACTGTTCCATTTTGTTGATGTGAAAACTGAGGGGTGTTGAGGTTAAATAACTTCCTCAGGTCATATAGCTAGGACATAGTGGAGGGGGGCACATGATACAGGCTTCAAGTGGGTTTGAAACCAGTTGGAAGACTGGGAGGTGTCTGGTGGCTAGCTGCAGGGCTCTATCCTCAGCCCTGCCCTGGTCAACACTTGTATTAATAGCCTGAGTGAGAACCTTGCAGCCAAAGTAGATTCTCACACAGAGAGAGTCCTGATGTGATTCACCTTCTACCCATTCCTGAGTTCAGGGATCAGTGCATTGCCATCTTCCACTGGTCACCCCTGGTCCAGGGATAAGCCTGTGACCTGATTTGGTTGAGTCAGGCGAAAGGGAAGGTTGTTGGAGGAGAGGTTCCTTTCCCCTCTGTCTCTGTCTCTGTTTCTCTCCTCCGTGTCCTCTCCCTCCCCCTGCCCCCTGCCATGAGCAAGGGAAACAGGTACCCACAGTTGCCACCTGCAGGCTTCCAGAAGTAAGACTGGGATGTTAACATGGAGTCCTTACCATGACAAGGAGCTGCTAAATCTCCACCCTGCCCCATCTTGGGACTTGCTGCCACAAATGATTTTGATTTTCCTTATGGTTGAAGCCACTTTGAATCAGGTTTTTCTGTTACTTGTGGCTGTTGTTACCCAAAGCCTAAGCAGCCTAAGCAGTGATGGTCCATGTCCAGGGTCTTGTTCATGGGCTTACTTCATGAACAGGGAGGTAGCTGTTTGCCACCCTGGCCAAGCTGGGCCAGTGCATTGTCTCTGGGCTAAACCTGCCCTTTTTTAGTAGTACCTGTGGGTGTCTGGGCCACCACCCCTGGAAATACGACCTTATGTGGCCTCAACAGAGTTGCCCTCAGCCTGTTTGGGGTGATGGTCTAGACCCGACATGCGACTTCTCTGTGTTGAAATGTTGCAGAACAGAACACGTTTTGAGACAGCAGTTGGGACTGTTGAACACTCCCATTCCTGGATGTCTAGTTTTGTGAGGTTGACTGAACCATAGTTATTTTCTTGTTTGTGTTGGAGGAGATCAGTTTTGTATTTCTTCAGAACATATGTGAATTTTCCTACAAAGGAATATGGAAATGGAGCTTGACCTCTTACTGGTCAGCACTGAGCTGGGCTGAGTAGACTGGGGGTGGCTTTGATGAGTGCTACATCCTGGAGGTGACAGATTTTCCCCCACACCCCCATTTGTAGAGAGGGGTGGCTGCCAGTGGGCAGAGGGAGGCAGGATGGTGGTGTTGGCTCTGGTTGGCTGAGCAGTGACCACAGAAGAGAGACATGGACCATCCAAACACCACCATGCCTGTTGCTGCCTCAGATGTCATGGAGGATGACAGAGCTCAACTCTGTTGAGGCCATGTAAGGTCGTCTTCTTGTTCGTCCCCTTCCTCCTCCATAATTTTGAAAGCGATTCTCTAGCCTTAATTAGCAAGAGTGAGACCAAAGTAATTAAGCTCAAGAAGAGTAATGATGGAGACCTCATTTGACTTCTGTAACTAGCTCACCCTTCCTGATCTTCAGGGAGGCACAGCAAGATAACACAGAGAGCTGGGCCTCAAGCCAGGCAGGCATTGGTTCAAATCCCAGCTATATTAATTTTGCATTTATGACATTAGGTATGTCTGGGGCCAGTGTCCCCATGCGTAAAATGTGATAATAGTGTCTCCCTTGCAAAGGTTCAGTGAGGAGTGAATGAGCTAGAGGTGGACAGCAGTGATCATGATGTGGTCATGTGAGTGATGTTTGGTTTTGACACCAATTCTCCACCACCAACTGAGTGTCCCACAATTCAATTTAATTCTGACACTGTCTACCTAGAGTCAGTGTCAGATCCCACAAGTTAAGGGGCTCAGTCCTACAAGACTGTCCTACTTCAGATACCAGTCAAAAGTCCTGTGCTACTTACACTTCTGACCAACTGGCTATAAGTGAAAGGTTCTCATGACTTCTCCTCAGGTTGGATCGTTTGCTAGAATGGCTCACAGAGCTTAGGAAAATAGTTGTATGCATAGGTTTGTTATGAAGGATACAAAGGAACGTCCTGGTGAACAGGTATATCAGGTAAGGTCCAGAAGGGTCCCAAGCACAGAAGGTTATCTGCCTCTGGAGCTGGGATGCGCCACCCTCCTGACACATGGATGTGTTGACCAGCCCAGAAGTGCTCCAAATCTCATTGTTCTTGTTTTTATAATCCAATCTCCAGCTCTCCTACCCTTCCTGGAGGGAAGTTCCTATCCTCTCTCCACTTGCCTTTCTGGTGACCAGCCCCCATTCTGAAGTTATCTGGGGCTCCCCTGAGTCATCTCATCAGCATAAACACAGATGTGGTCAAAGAGGCTCATTATGAATCACTGGAAAATGCAAAGGTTTTAGGAGCTCTGCACCAAGATCGGGGACAGAGACCAAATATATCTCTGATTATACCACATCATCATCATCTCTGAGGGAGAGACACTGTCATTGCTTTAACAGATTAATAAGACTGCTGCATTTGCAGCAAGCCTGTGGCTGCTCTGCATCATCACCACCGTGGGGGAGGGAAGTGCCCCAGCTCCGGCCAGAGCTGAACCGTGTGGTGGAGCAGAATCACAGAAGGTTCCTGAGGACTTAGGAAACAGACCTTTTCTTTCTGTGGGGTTCATCACCAGCTTGGTGCCATTTGGCTTCCTGCTTCCCCCTCCCTGACTCTCACTCTCCTCCACCCTGCCTCTATCCACTCTGTCCCCATGGTCTGGACAGTTGGCCCAACCAGAGTATGTTACCTGGAGCTGATTCCTAGATTCACAGGCTGGCACCTACCTCTCCAGTGGTGTTCCCAGGCTTCCTACATCAAACTATTTGCAGGCCATTCTGCAAAGGTGGGACCTGGGTCTCCATTCTGGGTCTTCCACACACAAGGCTCTTTCAGACACTGACCTTTGCACTGAGAGTTAGTACCTGTGTGACTCATCATCCCCATTGGTAGAGTGCAGGGGTCCCTGAGCCCTCCCTCCCCTGTGACCCTGACACCACCTGGGGATTTAAGATGACTCAAACCCTGGGCCCCACCACCCAGGTGGATCTGGAAACCTTCCTAGGATTTGGGCAAATCCCAGGCAGCAGACTCCTATTTCACATGCCTTGATTTGTCCCTCACCAAACCTGAACTCAAAGCTCAGCCTATTCCCCCGAAGCCAGCAAGTATTTCACAGGGGTGGCAACTTCACTGGAGCATAGAGGGGGTCATGGAGGCCACACCCACACCCTCAGCCTCCTGCTGCTCCCTGCTTCACTCTCTCCTCCTCTCCCCTCTCTCCTCCCCCTCCCACAGCAAGAAATGGATTTTTCCTCTTGTCCCAAGCAAAGCGAGTCCTCCCACACCCAGACCTCTGGAGATCTCACCTTCTGTCATTAGCACTCATCAAGGTACTGTATCAAACCAAATTTCCTTCCTGTGAGAAGGGCACACCTCCTCCCTGTAAGTGCACCCACCCTGTAAGTGATGGGCACTCCCAGCTGCCCCCAACCTCACCCCCTCTCTCATCCACCTCCTAGCACATCCCAACCTTTCCCCACCACATCCCCCTTGGACCTATCCCTTTCTGTCTTTTCCCTACAGCGAAACCCTCCCTCTCCCCAAGAGGACTCTCCCACTTCTGTTTGTAGGCCTCTCCGTGCTGGACGTCTTTGCTTTTGATGCACATGGCAGATGACCTCCTCGTGTAGGTCAGGCCTGGGGTGGGTCCGTGTTTCTATCTTAATTCCTGACTTGCAGGCTACAACTCCTTCCTTCTGAAGAAAGCTCCTGGAAGCAGGTGAGTGGGATATATTATGATGATTCTGTGACACTCTAGTATGTCACGTATGTCATCCATATGTGTGTTTGTAGGGGGTGGGAGGCGGAGCTCCTCAGAATTGACCCCACATCATGTTTGAGAATTCCCCCTTGAGGCATCCAGTGTAAAATGAGCCTGTAAGGGGAAGGCCCTCCTCCCTCCCTGACTTTGATTCAGGCTGAGCTGCAGGGCGGAAGAGCTGTCCACTCAGGAGCTGTCTAGATGGTCATTAAAGCATTTTTACTTCCAAAGAAGGGAGGAGTCTCTGCTGTAGCATTTGCTGCTTAAAGAAAAAGTGGAGTCCTACGTGGATTTCCCCTGGTTGACAGATGGTCAGCACGGGGAGGCCCAGTGGCCTCAGGCCAGAGTTTGGGGCAGCTCCATAGAGGAAGTAGTGGGTACTGGTGGAAATCCATGCTGGCCTGAGGCATGTGAGCCAACAGCTCTGGGGTGCAGAGCAAGCTGGCTGAGGAGCAGGGCAGAAGCTCCCTCACTGGCCAGATGCCAGCAGCCGGCCAACCAGCCCGCACAGCCACTGAGGATTGCCCCCAGTGTGGGGCCCCAGGGGCCAGGCCGCCTAGAGCTGGGCCTGGGGGAGGCAGGCCCGTGCCGCACCCGTCACAGGCTGGGTGTCCTCCTAGGTGCACGACCGCCTAGATCGCTACTGCTGTGGTTTCGAGCCTGAGCCGTCAGACCCCTGCGTGGAAGAGAGGCTCCGAGAGAAATGCCGGAACCCGGGTGAGCTGCGGCTGGTCCACATCCTGGTAGGTTCCCCCTGTCACCCAGACTTGGGTCTTCCTGTCTCCTTTGGAAGACGCTGCTTCTGGGTGGCAGAGATCACATGACACTGGGGGTTCCCAACTCTGTTCTTATTAGCAGTGGGAGCCTCTGTCTGAATAATGTTTCTAGGAAGCCCCAAGTGGGGCTTTGCGAATGTGATTGAGGCGGGACAACTCCACTGTCCCCTTGAGAGACTACAGGGAACCCCTAGGGCTCCTGGAAGCAGGTGTGTGAGCTGTGGGTCTTGGCATCCGCCCCCACCCTGCCAGCAAGTGTGGGAACTGGGGCCTGGGACAGGGAAGGGAGTTTCCAAGGCCACAGGGCTGGTCAGTGGCAGTGACAGGGCCCTATCCTGGGACCTGATGGCTTACAGGCTAGTGCAGATCCGAGGAACGCTCTGCTGCCTCCCGTTAAAAGTAGAGCCCGAGTGGGCTCTGAATAAATATATTCAGGAATGTTCTATGAACTGCTGCAGGTACTGTAGACTTGTGCATCCCACAACCTGAAGACAAGCGGGGTGGGAAGCGATGTGCCTAGGCCATCAGAGACAGGGACTGGCAGGCAGAGCAGCCGTGTCTCCTGCCCAAGGAGGGCTACTCTGTCCTCTCCTCCTGGTGAGTCCAATGTCCTCGATGCCTTGCCCTGGCCCATCGCTTGTGGAGCGGGTAGCTGTCATCATGGTGCCCCGGGCTGAGCTTCAGGCAGGCGACACCAGCCCAGAGGCCGGGGCTGCCTCGTGAAGCAGCTCCTGTCCTCAGAGCCCGCTCTCCTCTTCCCTGGTAAAAGGCAGTTCCCCTGCGGGGAGAGAAAGCGCTCGCAGCTGTCATTCACCCCGGGGGCAGCCACGTCACAGATCCCTTCGGACAGCAGTTCTCTGAGGAAGGAGTCATTAGGTTTCAAGAGATAGATGATCCCCGAAGTGTACAGAGGGGCAAGGGGCGAGGGGGAGAAGAGACAGAGAGAGGGAAAGCTAGGGTCCTGGAGGCAGAAGTTCCCAAGTTAAGCCTCCCAAGTGATGGAGAGAATTATGGGAAGATATCATGGAATCCCGGAGAATGTACAGGAATGGGGTGCACGGGGTGGGCGTGGGGAGCAGAAGACACGGCCTCTCATTCCCAGCCACACCGTATTTTTAAAAAGGCTAAGGTATTCTCTTTCGCTGGTTCTAGTGTTGAAAGGGTTTAGGAGTCACAAAACTCTCCCGTGGGGACAGAGTGTGCTGCCTGAGGCTAGAAGGCATCGTGCATTCTTGGTGACACTGGGCAATGTGTGGGTGCACAGGCGCCAGCGGCACACAATGGGTGAGCGTGCATGTGAGCATGCGTGCCTGCGTAAGCCTGAGGCCGTGACCTGATGGGTAGGTTCCCTCTGCGCCTGCCGGTTCTCCCCTGTGCTCATCACCCCGTCAGCCCCCAGAACAGGAATGAGCCCTCTGCTCTGCAGTTTCATAGGACATGGCTTGGCAGTACTGGTCCAGGTCGGAACTAGCCAGCTACTTAATAGCTGTGTGACTGTGTGCAAATTACTTGAGTTCTTTATGCCCCTGATTCTGTAAAAGGAAGCTGATCCTAATGGCTCCCTTCCGAGGTTGCTGGAAGGATTCACTGAGATGGTGCCTGGAAGCACTGAGCACAGCACTGCCATAAAGATTACAGCTCACATGGGGAACATCTGGGCAGGTAGCGGGGTGGATTGTGGGACTGTCGGCTCTGGGCCTCCCAAGCCACTAACCCACCTCTGTCCCTGTCCATCTTCTTCCCTGAGGTCCGGAGCAGCGATCCATCCCATCTGGTCTACATCGATAATGCCGGCAACCTTCAGCATCCTGAGGACAAGCTGAACTTCCGGCTGCTGGAGGGCCTCAATGGGTGAGGGTCAGTGGGGTTGGATGAGGGTTTGGAGACTGAGGCCTGATGGCTCTGCCATAGACCATGGGGCCTTTAATCATGGCTTCTGAGCAGTCCACAGTCTATTAGACAAAAGCTGCTGGATCTGAGCCTCAGAAGGGGGGGGGGGAGCCCTGGGAAATTTCGCTGAGGGGACACAGCCAGCAGGCACCCGCAGTATCCAGAGGGCCTCCTGGCACTGCAGAGCGCTGGCAGCCTGCTAGGGTCTGGGAAAGCTAGCCCTTCCCCTGCCCTGAGGAGGAGCCGGCCTGGGGAGCCTACCTTCCCTGCTCACTCATGGCAGGCAGCTCAGCCTTCTTAGGGCTCCTCCTAAGCAGAGTTGAGTCCTCCAGCTTCTCTGTGGGCCGGGACCAGCCAAAAGCTCTAGTCCCTGCCTGCTTTCCCAGCAGAGTAGGTGGAAGGGCTCTCTGACAACGAGTCAGCAGGCGCGCCCCAAGCACTCTGCAGGACGACTTTGCCAGGGTTTGCCAGCTGTGCAATTGCTGGCCATCTGGCTTCACCTGTCCTGGAAATTTTCTGAGATCGCTTTTGCTTTTCCTTTCTGTTATGGGGCTCGGGGGCCCTTCCTCCAGGTTTCCTGAGTCTGTCGTGCAGGTTCTTGCATCAGGGTGTCTACACAACATGCTGCTCAAGTCCCTGCGGATGGACCCCGTGTTCTGGGAAAGTCAAGGCGGGAGGCAGGGACTGAAGCAGGCTCTGCAGACCCTGGAGCGGCGAGGACAGGTGCTGCTGGAGCACATTCGGAAGCACAACCTGACACTGTTCAAGGATGAGGCCTCGTGAACTCCTCCACTGCCCAGGCAAGGCTCTCGCCCTGCTGGTGGGGTGCCTCCCAACACAACCTGACTGGATGAGCATTCATCCTGGTGGCCACATTCTCTGGGTTCCTCCAACCTGAAGACAAGCGGGGAAAGCCAGAAGAAACCAGAGGATACCATGGATGTCCCAGGTGTCCCGCCTGCGTGGGATGGTGAAGGTGGTTGTGGGTATTGGGTTTTCAACCTTACCACCATCTTTTCTGCCTTTTCAGCTCTGGCTATTCACTCCCTTGCACCAATAAATATATTCAAGAATGTTCTATGAACTGCTCCAGATACTGTGAACTTGTGCATCCCACATGCATATGTAGAGTAGATGTGTGAAGTTTCCCTCTGAAGATACCAAGCCAGAATCTTGTCAGGAGGCAAGGCCCCAAGCTTCCAGCAAGCACTTTTGTGTCTTGACGTGAACAGGTCTGCTCCACACAGAACGGTGGATGCATAAACAGTGTGTGGCCCCGCCCAGCCTGTCCAGTGCGTGTCAACCAGCCATGGCACAGGAGGACAGGCCATGCACTCTGCTCAGCCCTCTCAGCACCGTCTCCAGCACTGCCCTCGGCACTGGCCTCTTCCTCCCTCTGGGGCTGTAGGGGGTGGAGGGAGGCTCCAAACCCAGCTCTTCCCAAGTCCTCAGGACTCCAGGATTGAGCCCACTCTCCTGGGCTGCCTCTCAGCCCAGAGCGGCTCCAGCTCGGGGGCACAGGCCTCTTACTGCACTACTCCTCAGCAGGTATCCCTGCGCTCCCTACCTTCTGCCTCAGAAGGTCTTTCTAAATATATGTACCCTGAAGATTTTTTTCTTTTTGATTTTCAGAGGACTGGACTTGAACGAAGGAGCTCTGGGTTCAGATCTGACCTTGGCCACTTTATGGTTAGCAAATGACAAATGTTTATTGAGCACCCACCATAATAACAAGTAACATTTACTGAGTGACGACTATGTGCCAGGCACTGTGACAGTGGTTTACATGGATCACAGCATTTCCCCACACCACAACCTTTTGGGTAGGTGGGATTATTAGCATCTCCACTGTAGAGATGAGGCACAGAGGGGTTAAGTTGTTCAAAGGTACCCAGCTCGTAGGTGGAAGGGCCCAAATTCAAACCCAGGCAACAGCTGTGCTAGCATGTTTTGAGCCCAGGCCCATGACGAAAAGGTGCGCCCACTGCCCTCCCCAGTCATCACTCCAATAACTTTTCCTCCTCTAGACCCTATGGATTCAGAGCTGATGACCAGGCAGGGCCAATTCCCTGGAACAGAGCAGCACACTTGGACCCTGGCAAGCAGTCACAGGCACCTGGCTCTCTGCCCATTGCTCTTGGCCTGTTAAGTCTGCTCAGTCTTTCAACTGTGTTTTTCCTGTGAACTCGAAACTTTCTCCACTTTCTATCCTTTTCAAAGAACACCCTCAGCCACATTCTGTGCTGCTTGCCCTCTCCTCCCCCAGCCATTGCCCCTGGAATGAGAAGGATGTGCCGAGTGAAGCTGACAGCTGGGGGAGATGGATTAGGACCCTCCCATCAACCTTAAGAAGCTTCGAACACAAGAGCCATGAGGGGTCTGCAGTGCAGGGGTCTGCTCACCTGCGTGCCACAGGGTCTGGTAAGGCCATCAAAATCACCAGCCACCAAGGTGCCTGACTGACCTCACCCCAGGCCCGACCCTGTTTCTTTGTACTTCATCCCAAAAGAGCTGTTCCAAGGAAAATGATGGTGTTTCCAAAGGGGAACGGAGGTTCACAGCTCTCTAGATGCAATCCCAGCAAGCTCCAAGCTCTGAAAATCAAAAGCCTCAGCAGGATCTGAGGTTACACCCAATAACTGAACACACTGATATTCCTGCAGTGAGATGTATGAATATTCACACTGAGTGGGACATGGGATTTGGTACTGAATATCAGTGTGTTCAGTTATTGGGTGTAACCTCAGATCCTGCTGAGTGTTGCACAATTCATGGTATAACTACCATATTACATTTCTATATCTGAAAAATTCAGAATTCAGAATGACCTCTGGCCTCCAGGGTTTGGTTATGGGAGTCTAGGCCTGTGAGAACTAATTTATTACAAACCAGGCATGGCGCTAAGGGCTTTATACAAGTGATTTCATGAATGCCATAAGACAGTCCCAGCTACGTGATCCTCTGCAGATAAAGCAGCTCAGCTGGTGAAGGGGTGTGTTGCCTGAGCCCACACAGGTGGAGGCGCCAGAGTCTGCCCCTGAACCTGGGGAGCACCACCTGGCATGAAGTGAATACAGACGAAGGCCCAAACTGTGCCAAGAGCTTTACCATGTTCCTCATTGCAGACCTTCGAAATAACTCCAGGAGGTGGCATTACTGCTCCCATTTGATAGAACAGGAAACTGAGGCTCAGGGAGGTTGACCCAAGGTCACTGGTCACAACCGATGAGGCTGGGATTTGAACCCAGGCCCATTTAATTCCAGAGCCCCTGCCCCCACCACTGTAACATCCTTCCTTCCTTCCCTTCATTCATTCGCTCGTTCGGGAAATTTTACTGAGCAGATTTTCCACACAGAATAGAGAATCTGGAAGGAATCACTGTGTGTGGCGCACTGTGTGGCCACATGTATCAGGCATTTGGAGATAGGTCGTTTTACCTATACCGTCTGGCCACCAGAGCGTGTGTCCGGGCATCCTGTTGGTGAGCAAGGTCCCTGTAACCAGGGATATGGGAAATGAGAGGGCAGCACGGGGGCAGGAGGGAGTCAGAGAACTCTACCTCAGTGTGTGGGGGTCGGCACAAGGAGATGTGGGAGACGGTTTCCCCTTGGCCAGGGCCTTCAGATAAGTGAATCCCTGAGACGCACCCACCATCTCTAGCGAGACACCTCCTGCACTCCCCATTCGTGGCCCCCTGAAGTCAAGAGCTGCCTCTCCACGGACACTGGCCTTTCTTCCCTTCACACCTGCCCCTCCACTGCCCCAGGCCCCTTCAGTGGGGAGGAGGCTCAGGGGGCAGGAGGAGGACGGGTTTTTTAGATGGCTCCTCCCCTCATGCCCTCATGCCCCTCTTCCGCCCCTCATGCCCTCCTCTTGGCTTCCCTGGCCCTCCTTGCCTCCCCAGGCCTCTCCTGGCTCACCTCAGGTTCTGCTTAGCACTGCTTAGGGGATGCCTATTTGGGGAGTGGGGTCTGGAAGGCCATTTGGGTATAGGGGCCTTGGCTCAAGAGGTGGGATGACATCCTCAACCCCTGGTGTTGTCCAACCGAAGAGAGAAGAGTCACTAAGCCTCCAAGGAAGTGGACCAGAGTGGGAGGCATCTCTAAATAGAAGGCCGGGTTCCACACAGCTCACCCAACAGCAGGGCTGAGTTCACGTTCTGCAGGAAAATAGCATGGGGGGGGGGGCGAAGAGGGGGGTCTCAAGTCGGTGCTGGCAATGGGCTAGGGCATGCTGGATGGCAGGTCCACCCCGGGAGGCCTCAGGGGGGCGGAGGCAGCACCCAGCAAGGAGACACACACGGAGGTGCAGGGCTTTGATTGCAGGGGTGCGGGGAGAGGGGGCTGCCTCCAAGATGAACCAGTGGGGAAGGCGGCACATGAGAGGGGCGCCCTGAGGAACGCTCCCTGCATTGGTGTCTACAGCTCCACTGCAGGACTTAGCTCATACGTGATTTCTGGGGAGCATCCACCCTACCCTGGAGGGCAGCAGAGGCAGGGTGTGCCTTCTGGAGGGTTCTTAGTGCAGGTGGTAGAGGGAAGTACAGGTCCAGGGCACCTCACGCACAGTAGAGCCACAGGAGACAAGATAAGTGAAGTAAGTCACTTAAAGCTGATGGGGGTGAGACTGTGGATTTTTTCTTTTTTAATTGATGAGAGACAGAGAGAGGCAGAGACATAGGCAGAGGGAGAAGCAGGCTCCCCATGAGACTCGATCCCAGGATCCAGGGATCACGACCTAAGCCAAAGGCAGACACTCAACCACTAAGCCACCCAGGAGCCCTAAGAATATGAATTTTTATGAAGTTTCTTGTGTGTGTGTCTCCCCAGCATCATTTACCAGAGGATCATTTGCACCCAGACCCCACAAAACATCAAGGAATGAAGGGCCGTCCCTCCATGTGTCTGGGTGAGGGACACTGAGCATGACCAGGGAGGCTACTGCATGAAGGCAGGTCCAGCGGCAACTGCTCCTTGCACATCTGAGTGCCTTGTGCCTTGTTCTAGTGACTGCAGCCTTCATTTAAAACACACGCACTCACACACGGGGTGGGAGGACCCCCAGGCACCCCGCTGACGTCCCTGCCCAGAAGGACTGGATGCATTGCTTCTCTGCCCTGCACCCTTGGCAGCTCTGTCGCCACACGAAGTCACATCTAGTCCTGGTGGGTGACACGACGGATGTGGGATGGGGACGGGATCTTCCGACCTCTGCCCACCCTCCCTAGGGAGGCTCCCTTGCACTGCCCAGGCGGCAAGCCTCAAGTGCCCTTATACAGCCCCCCCAGGGAGATCCCACCACCGGGGAGCAGTCATGGGACGGCTGGAAGGGGTGAGGCGGAGGACGTCTTCTTGCACCAGCTCTGGGATGGCTGAGGTGGCTGTGATGGTGGCAGCAGCCGTGTCAGAGACCGTGGCATCCTGAGCCTTGGACACCAGCTCAGCTTCTGGCTCCTGAAGCCTCCAAGGCTGGGCAGTTCTCAGAACTGCTCCTCAAGGCCCAGCCCGGAGCCCACACCTCTCATCCTCCCAAGGGGTTTCTTTGCCTTTCCGTTTTGGAATAATTATGAATTCACAGTAGTTGCAAAGACAGTACTCGGAGGTCCTGTGTAGCCTTCATCCAGTTTCCCCCAGTGGTGACATCACCCGTGATTACAGTACCAAAACCATGACCTTGACCTCGGTATACTGTGCGTGCGTGGTTCTGCATCATTTTAGCACACGTAGATTCAATAACCACCACGATGACCAAGATACAGAACTGTCCCAGCGCCTCGAAGACCTCCCTCTGCTACCCCTATGCAGCCTCGCCCACCTCTTCCCTTGCTCCCACCCTCATCCCTGGCAGCCACATATCTGGTCTCCCTCTATAATTTTTGTCATTCGGAGAACGGTATCTAAAGGGAATCACACAGCATGTAAACTTTCGAGATTGGCTTTCTTCACTCATCGCAACACCCCTGAGATCCAGCCAAAGTGTTGCTTTAATCAACAGTCTGTGCCTTTTTGATTACTGTCCCTTTTTATTCTTTAGTATCGCATGGTACACAGGGACCACAGTTTGTTTACAAGTCACCCCCTGAAGGACATCTGGGTCATTTCCAGTTTTTGACTAATACGATGAAAGCTGCTCTGAACATTCACGTACATTTTTGTGTGAAAAGACAATTTCATGGTAATATGTTTAATTTCTTAAGAAACTTGCCAAACTATTCCCAGGCTACCATTTTACACTCTGACCAGCAATGCATATGACAGATCCAGTTTCCCTGCATCTTTTCCGGCATTTGGTATCGTTCCTACTTCTTATTGTAGCTGAGGCCCGCGTGAGGCATTCCTCCAACTGCGCCTCTGCATTGCCACTTGGAAAATGGGAGAATGGGGGGAGGGGGATTATTAACCTCGTGGTTATACAACAAACCTTCCTCACCTCACATTTTCTATTAGTTGGCAAAAGGTGGTGTTGCCAAATATTCCATGATATTGCCAAATATTTGTTATATCAAATTCAAGATTGTTTTGTATTTTGTTTGCTAGACTTTAGCAGACTCTAGAAAAAGGCTGACCACACAGGGATGGCTGAGGATCACCACTGAGGTGTTTGCTTTGGGCTGGGGTGTCCACATGTGGTCCCTTTCCAGGCCTCACACCAGCCTGCTGCCACCCTCCTTCGGCCAGTGAGGTGCCCTCGGAGCTGACTCATGGGGTGCAGAGGGAGCCACTGGTTATTGTGATGGGCTTCTGTCGGAGAGCTGCCTGGGTACCCCAGCTCCCAGTTCCCAGGCTCCCCTGCCCTTATCTTCCCCCTGATTCTTCGGTGGGCTGTTAGGACACAGATTGAAAACAAACAGTATCAACAAAATGTTAACACTCTTAATGTTAAATGAGCTCTTAGAACTCCTACATAATAACAAAGAAACAATTCCTGCCTGCTAAATTTCCAAAGTTTAAAAAACTGCAAATATGGGGGTGATGGAAATAATCTACATCTTGCAAGGGTGTGGGGTACAAAGAAGTAGGTATGAGTGACACTCAAGGAACTCTACACTGAAGACCTATGCGCTTCACCATAAATTAACTAAACATCAATAAAAGAAACATGATAGCAACAAAAAGCAGCAGCAAGAGAAGAACTACTCCGAGCGCTGGCAGAGCTCCCTCAGGGCTGGGCTGCCGGGCATGGATCCAGGCTCCTGCCACTTAGCAAATGCTGTGTGTGGCCCGAGGACAGAGTATCAGTTTGTGAGTTTAGACAGTGGAATGTTCTACAGCCAACAAGAATCTTGTTTTCAAAGAGTAACCTTCAATGGCGTGGTAAAGTGTTCATGTTACACTGTTAAGAGGAAAAAAAAAACAACCAACCGGGACTAGTTTCACAAGATTATAAATTTGTAAAAGGCGATTTGGCCACAGGCAGAAATCCAGGCTTCACTGAACCAATGAACCGTCCGCGGGTTCCTCTACATCGTGATCCACACACACACCCCCCCCCCAGCCTCTAGCCGGTGGGCCGCCCGTGGCAGGAGCAGAGTACCGTCGGGGACAGGGCAGGGCGCAGAGCTAGTGTCTGGGGGACATGGCAGCCTAATGACCAGAGCTGGAGGAGACTCAGTTTTCCAGAAGAGCGCCCCTGGAGCCGAGTTTTCCTTTTTGATTGAGGTCTAATGTATGAGGTACACATAGTAAAAGTATGTGAAATGCGCTAGCCTCGGGTGTAAGCTCATGATCGCCCACACGGACGGTCACCGTGCAGCCACCAGCCAGATTGAGACACTCCCGACCTCCCGGCTCCCTCCCAGCCGGCCCACCCTGACCCTCCCCTGGGGGAATTCTGACTTCTACCGCCAGAGACTGGTTCTCTTGTCCTGGCACTTCACGGAAATGCAATTGTACAGTGTATATGTTCTATCACTCAACAGGCTGCGAGATTTACATTGTTGCCTGTGCCCATAGTTCATTCTTTAAAAAAAAAAAGTGTGTCCTGGGGGCACCTGGGTGGCTCAGTAGGTTAAGGATCCCACTCTTGATTTCAGCTCAGGTCATGATCTCAGGGCTTGAGATGGAGCCCCACGTTGGGCTCTGTGCTCAGTGCAGAGTCGGCTTGGGATTCTCTCCCCGCCTCCCTCATGCTCTCTAAATAAACAAATAAAACCTTAAAAAAAAAAAAACCTGTTGTGTCCTTTGCATAGAATGTATCTGTTGATGGAAATGTGAGTTTAGTTTTTGGTTATCTAGAACTGTGAATATTTTATACATGTGATGACATTGGCACTCATTTCTTCTGGATTTATATTTAGCAGTGGACTTGCTGAGATACAGGGTAGCCATGTGTTCAGCCATAGAAGAAACCACCAAGTGGTTTCCAAGTAGTGTTACCCTCACACCAGCAGTGGGTGAGACTTCCAACAACTGAATCTTAATGTGTGGATCAACGTGGCAGTCTGAGAAGATGGCAGATAGAGCAGTTAGGGACAAAGATATCCTGGGTAGAAGGAAGGTCATGGAAGCACCTGGTGACCATGAAAATGTGCCACTAAGATCTCCTGCTCTGAATCCACCACCAACTGGCACCGAGGCCATTCCTCCCACAGTCGCCCTCAGCCAGTGACCAGGCTACTCATCTAATAGACAACTTTGGCTGAAGAATTGTTCTGCTTCGTGAGACAATCTTAGAACTGAGCTACAGAGGGCAGCCCTGGTGGCTCAGTGGTTTAGTGCCGCCTGCAGCCCAGGGTGTGATCCTGGAGACCCAGGATTGAGTCCCATGTCGGGCTCCCTGCATGGGGCCTGCTTCTCCCTTTGCCTGTCTCTGCCTCTCTCTCACTCTGCGTCTCTCATGAATAAATAATAAAATCTTAAAAAAAAAAAAAAAACTGAGCTACAGAGACTCCTGGGTGGCTTAGCAGTTGAGCATCTGCCTTTGGCTCAGGTTGTGATCCCAGAATCCTGGGACTGAGTCCCGCATTGGGCTCCCCATAGGGAGCCTGCTTCTCCCTCTGCCTATGTCTCTGCTTCTTTGTGTTTCTCATGAATAAATAAAATCTTAAAAAAAAAAAAAAAAAAACTGAGCTTGAGCCTGAGGCTCTACCTCCTAGACCCCCTTTCCAGTCTTCCTTCCCAGGAGTCAGACTTGCATCAGTGTCTCTCCTCTAGGGGCATATCTGATCTTGGGTTACCTTTCTAGCTCTGCTCCACAGAAACCAGGCGACAGCGGACTGTCAGGTGTGCCATTCAGCAAAACTGCCAACAGTAAAACTGACCTCTGACAGATTAGCTACATCTGCACCGGCAGGGTCATGAGTGAACCCAAACATCTGGTAGGGGCACCAGAGCTGCAGATCCCCTTGAATGCACCATCCCGGGAGCAGCCCTGGGAACCATGTTGTTTGAAAGACAATGGCTCCCTTGGGGCTTCTAAGCCAGTGGCCCCAACTACCAACAGGGGTCTTGTCTCATCACCCTTGAGCAGCAACTTGCAGAACAGGGCAAGAATGGCTCCCGGGCTGGTGTGAGGACTCCCCCTGAAGAAAAGAAGTGCTCAGTGATGTCCTGCTGAATGTCCTGCCCTGTGTCCTTCTAAGGGAACCTGATGTGTGTAGCCTGTTGTGGTCTTGGGAGCCTGAATGTCCTCTTTAGCCTAAGAACACCACCTGGTGGACACTGCATTTCCTCACCATGGCCCTGTCCCCCCTGCTTCCAGACTTGAACCCCAATTAGATGGGAATGTGATATTCATCAGGCAGTCAAGATGAAATCCAACCAGCTCACATCACTTCATTGTCCTTGATGCTTTCCCATGGCCACATCTCCTCGGTTGACAGCTGAGATGAAAGAGCACGTGGGTACTGACTACCAGTCCCACTTGCAACTAACCAATAAAAAGACTTGACCAAGAGGCTCCTGGGTGGCTCAGTTGGTTAAGCATCTGGCTTCAGCTCAGGTCATGATCCCAGTGTCCTAGGGCTGAGCTCCATGTCAGGCTCCCTGCTCAGTAGGGAACCTGCTTCTCCCTCTCCCCCCTGCTCATGCTGTCTCTTGCTATCTCTTTCTCTCTCAAATAAAATCTTAAAAAAAAAAAAAAAAGACCAAGACGTTTATAATCATTTAATGAATGTTGCAAACACAACTCCACTGTGCTACACGTGAATTTCATGATGATGGAAGCTGATGAACCACCCACCCAAGCGACCACATGACTTACTCACAGTTTCCAGACATCTGGACAGCAACCAGAAAGATTCAGTAGCGAACAGCATGATCACTCGGCCAGAGGCTCCTTAGTTTCCTTCTTCCTTCTCCTCTTCCTTCTCCCCCTAAGGACCTTCTGTGGAGTATGGATGCTCAGGCCGGGAGAAGGGGGTTGGGAGGATCCCAGTGTACCAGTGCAGAGTGCTGGGAACTCCACACTCCAGATACAGTAAGAAGACACAGAGGCACAAGCCTAGGGCAGCCTGCTCAATAAATAATTAATTCCCAGAAGCCACCACAGGGGGCTAGAGGGCCCAGGGACACTGAACTGGAGGAGCCACCCCCCACCCCCGGCCCGGCCATGGCACACTCGCTACGTATTGCACACCAGCACATCTGCAAAGGGTCCCAGGAGGGTCTTGTTGAAGATGCAGCGAACCCACACCAAGTAGGTAGTGAAAGGCTTGATGTTCTCAGTGAAGGTGTGGTTCTGCAGAGCCAGGATGTAAGGCACATAGGTGTTCTCCCCCTGCTCCTGGAGCCACACCTCGTACTTCACCTCCCTCACTTTCAGGTACTTGAGGTTCCATGGGATCTGCCAGGAGACGGTGAGGCGGGCCTCAGAGGCACCCTGCACGGACGCCTGGCACCGTGCCTCCCGAACCTTGCCTGGGTACAGGCCCACGGTCCACTTCTGCTTCCGTGGCCCTGGCCGGCCCTTCACCACACGCCGTACAGTCTGGATGAGGGATGGGATGTCCACCTTGGTGTCCTGGTAGATGCGGAAGAGCCACTCAGGGTTCCGGCAGCAGAGGTGACGAGGAACCTCACGGCTCTGTAGGATGCGGGCCTGCTCGGCCCGGTCCAGGTGAGTGATGCCCCCCTGGTCCCAGGGCCGCTCGGGATGCGTGACGGTGTTCTCCGGCATCATGTTGCGCCAGGCCACATACTGGAGGTCCATGCCAGGCAGCGTGGCCAGCGTCTTATAGGGGGTGTAGTGGTCAGGGTTGACGGCATAGGGGAAGAGCTCGACCACGGTGGCCCCACGGGGCAGGAAGAGGGCAGTGACCAGCTGGGCCCCATGCACGCTGACCAGCATGGAGGCGTTGCTGACCAGCCGCACGACATCGGCAAAGGCCTGGTCCTCCAGGGACACCGTCACCGTCTTCATCTGGAACTCCTGGGCCAGGGCCAACAGCAGCTCCGCCTCATTCAGGATGAGCCTGTTGTGGGTTCGGCTGAAGACCAAGATGTACTCCTCCCCGAGGGGAGCGCCCACCTGGCTCACGTTCAGCTTTTCCCTCATGAACCGGGCGAACTGCCGGATCTCGATGCCCGAGACGAGGATGTTAGCCTTGGGGCCCTGCGGCTGCACGAAGCCGTACTGGTACCAGGTGGTGACCTTGGAGAGGCCCACGAAGGCGTGGGCGAAGCACAGCAGCCGGCCCAGCGTCTTCAGCTGCGCGCGCAGGAGCGGCTGCTTAGGGCTGAGGAGCTTGTACAGGTCAAAGTGGGCGCCCTCGCTCCAGCCCTCCATGAAGAAGAGCCGGGCCTCGTGGGCCAGGCCGGGGAACTGCCTCAGCGTGTAGAAGAGCGGCAGCAGGTCGTCGTGGAAGACGTGCATCAGGTTGTCGGGGTTGAAGCGGTTGGCGACCAGGGCCACGTCGGGCACGAACACGGGCTTGGGCATGAAGCGCAGGGCGGCGGCCGGCAGCTCCACGAAGTTGAAGTACTGGGTGTTGTGGTCCTCCACGGTGGACAGGTCGAGCAGGGCCGGCTGGAAGCGCCGGGAGCCCAGGTTGGGCAGCATGGCCGAGGCGTTGCCGTGGAAGAAGATGAACTCCTCGGCCTCGTTGGAGTAGCAGAGCCACTTAAAGCGGCAGACGCGGTCGGTGTGCGTGCGGCCGGTGCACACCATGTGCGTGCCGCCCTCGCTCAGGAGCTGCAGCGCCCGGGCGTAGTCGGCCCTGGGCGCGGGGCCGGGCGCGGGGGCCTGGCGGCCGGCGGCCACCGCCTCCTCCAGCGCGGCCGCATGCTCCCGCAGCCGCACGTGCTTCCACAGGACGGCGGCCAGCACCGACACCAGGAGGGCGTTGAGCACCGCCGACAGGTGCATCCTGCCGCCCTGGGCCCTAGCGACAGGACCGCCCCCGGACAGCGCCGCTGGCCCGGCCGCCTTCACCCATCCCTGCGGGCGCCCCGCGGAACCGCAAGAGCCTGCGGGGGAGAAGGAAAGGAAGAGGTCGGCACAGGCGGTCCGCAGCCCCCGGAGCCCCCGCAGCCCCCGGCAGCGCCCAGTCCCTGCGCCCCTGCGCCCCCTGCGCCCCCGCGCGTGTTCGCTCCTCCCGGCCCCGCTGCCTCCCCGGGCACTTCGGGCAGGGAGACGTCAGCAGAGAAAACCCAATCAGAGGCTCGACAAGAGCTCAGTGACCGGCCTCACCCTCTGTACACCTACCTGCCAGGAGAAGAATGTGCTCAGCCCCAATTCCTGGTCCCGGGAGGAGCAAGGCAGGCGGGGAGGAGGGATGCTCCAGCCAAGCCCAGTCTAGCTCGGAGCGCCCGCGCCCCCGCCCCGCCCCCGCCCCCACCCCCACCCCCACCCCCAGTGTGTGAGTGAACCCAACACCCAGACATCTGGGCTGTGTAAGTGCTTATGTCACTCAAATCCCGTGGCTGTTTGTTATGAAGCACTGCTACAGCAAAAGCTAACCAACGGAGGACCCATGATGACAGGCACAGGGCAAATCCTGCTACTGCAAGGTAAGGGCCTCTCCGTACAGGGGCACAGACGGGACCGAAGGCCTGTGAGCGCTGTCTCCAGGCTGTACACCAGGACCCCAGTGTCCCCTTCTGACGACACACAGCACGCACATGTGGGGGATATGGGGGAATGTCTGCTCTTGCTTAAAGCTCCTGTTCAGAAATCACTCCTGCTGGCTTTTCAATTCCCATGGAAGGATAGGTGGTTTTTTGCCCCCTCCACGGCCCAGTAAAAGAACTGTATCTGATACACCTACAGGGGGGCCTGGCTGAGCTGTGGGCATTTGCTTCATTTTTCTGCACTACCCAGAAGAGTAATACACTTGCTCTGAAGCCCAGGACTGCTCAGATTTGAAGGCTCTCCCCTCGGCCCTCATAGGAGCAGCATGGGTACCACCTGGGGCCCAGCCAGCACTGCACTGGGGAAGGGGCTAGCTTCTGCTTCTTGGTGTCTTGCAGCTTGTCTCTCCCTGCAATCACAAAACTCAAAGTGCAATCCTGCCCAGAAAGAGACAGTGGCTTAGGCTAGGTTCCCTCAGATGCAGAATCAGAGACAAGAGTTTGAGTCAAGAGCTTGGTAAATCATCCAAAGAATTGGGGGGAATTAAAAGGGAGAAGGAGTGAAGCCAATCAAGGCACATTAATGAGCAGGTCACTACTCTGAAGAAGCCGGGCTATTTGCCTCCCGACTCCCCTCCAGCACCCAGCTGAAGGCCATTCCTGGGGCACCGTCTCCTCCGGCCTACCCTCATCTAAGGGTTGAGCATGCACATTCTTAAGTATGCATATTATACTACCCTCTAAAACATTTCAAAGGAATTACTCTAGCTATCATGTACTCCAGTGTTTCCTTTTCTAGTCCAATATTCTAAATTTGCTTTTAAAAGGAGGGCAGGGCATGTTCATCTTAATTGATTTCGCAACCTAACAGGGTTGGCAATTTACTCTTTAAAAATCCTGGTCTTGGCTAGGATCGAGTCCCACGTCAGGCTCCTTGCATGGTGCCTGCTTCTTCCTCTGCCTGTGTCTCTGCTTCTCTCTCTCCTCTCTGTGTATTCTCAGAAATAAATAAAAAAAATCTTAAAAAAAAAAAAAATCCTGGTCTTGGGGCACCTGGGTGGCTCAGTCAGTTAGGCATCCGACTCTTGATTTCAGCTCAGGTCATGAGTGGTTGTGATTGAGCCCCGAATTGGGCTCTGTGCTGAGCATGGAGCCTGCTTAAGATTCTCTCTCCCCCTGCTTCTCCTGCCCCCACTCACACATGGGTGCTTACGCTCTCTTACTCCCTCCATCTAAAAAAAACAAAACTGGTCTAGATCACAGATTCTCTAACCTGGCTGGTTCTTGAAATCCCCAGAGGCACTTGCTAAAACATCATGTATTCGTAGGCCCTAATCTAAGAGGTTCTGATTCAATAGTAGGTCTGGAGTATGGCTCAGGCATCTGCCATCTTTTGTTTCATTTTCACCATCTTCTTGCAGATTATTTGAATTCCATTTCTAACTATCGATAGTGTTTCTGAGTATATTTCTTGGTGCAGATTTTCTAGCGGTTGCTCTAGGCATCATACTGTGTATATGCAAACTAGCACAGTCTACTGGTAGTGACATTCCACCTCTCGAGCAAGTACAGAGACCTTATCTCCATCTGGGCTCTTTTATCCTCCTCCTTTATAATATAATTATCTTCAACATTTCCTCTACATGCGTTAAAATCCGCATCAGAACACCTTATAATTTTTTTTTTTATGATAGTCACGGGGGGGGGGGGGGCAGAGACATAGGCAGAGGGAGAAGCAGGCTCCATGCACCGGGAGCCCGATGTGGGATTCAATCCCGGGTCTCCAGGATCGCGCCCTGGGCCAAAGGCAGGCGCCAAACCGCTGCGCCACCCAGGGATCCCATAATTTTTGTTTCAATTACCCAGTGTAATCTTCTCAAGAGGGAAAGGAGAGTCTGTTATATTTACCCATATTTTTACTATTCCTGTTTTTCCTTCATCCCTGAGGTTCCAGGTTTTCCTCCGTTATCATTTCTCTGGAGAACTTCCTTTCGTCATCATTTTAGGGAAGTTTGCTGAGAACAAGTTCTCTTAGTTTTCCTTCGGGTGAAGAAAATGCCTTGATTTCACCTTCATTCCTACAGGATATTTTCACTGGGACAGAACTTTGGGGTGACAGTGCTTCCTCTCAGTACATGGAAGCTGAGGCCTCCCTCTGGCCACCATGTTTCTGATGAGGAATCTGCTGTATCTGAACACCGTTCCCCTGGACATAATGGGTCCTTCCTCTCATGTGGCTCTGAAGAGTGTTTGTCTACTTTTTAGAAGCCTGGTTATCAGGTGTCCTGGTGTGGGTTTCTCTGAGTTTACCCTGTGAGGGAAGGTTTCACTCACCTTTGAATCTATAGATTTATACCTCTCACCAAATTTGGGAAACTTTCAGCCATTGTTTCTCTAAATACTTTTTCAGCCTCCAGGTATATGAATGCTAAATTTAAAAAAATCTATATTGTCCTATAGGTCAATAGGCTCTGCTCAACTTTTTCCCCTAATTTTCTCCCTGTTGTTTAGATTGGATAAACAATCCAATTTGTTTCATGTTTACTGATTCTTTCTTTTGTGATCTCCATTCTTCTACTGGTCCATCCAGGGATGTTTTAATTTTGGTTACTACATTTTTCAGTTCTCAAATCTCCATTTAGTTCTTTATACCTTTCTTTCTTTGCTGAGCCTTAGCCTTGAGCTTATATTAAGTCTTCCATTTTAGCAGGGTTTTGCAAGAATCATGCTGGTGGGAGAAGGCGGGGGACTGACTCATTATCTTTGGGTGGGAGGAAATTCACACTTCCTGCTCAGCCTCCACCAACAGCATCCTGGCAGGGAGGGTGAGAGACTCTGCATACCCACTGATTAGGGGTGGAAATCTAGGTTCCTTAGTAGGTCAGGAGGGGTGCCTCATCACCACTGGGTGGGGGTGAAAGTCTAGGCTCCACTGACATCTCAAGGAGACTGTGGGGTGAGGGGACATCTTGTTACCTCTGGGTGGTGGTGGGGGGAGGTTGGGTGCTGAAAGTGGGGGGCACCTGGTTGGTTACCACAAAGCAAGGATGGACATCTAAGCTGTCGATTTGGCCTTTATTAAAGCTGAGAGGGAGGGGAGAAGCAGTTTTCCTGGTGTTTTACAGGAATAGGGTGCTACTGTCAAAAAGGTTTTGTGAGGCTGCTCCTTTTCCAGTCCTTTGATGAATGAGAAAGAGTGAGCTTTCTTTGGGGCTTTTTCTGGTCTCTGCTCGCTGACAATTCTGGGTTGTGGGCTTCTTTAGCACCCAGTCTAGGGTATATAGGAGACAAAAGAAAAACCCAAGAACTCACCACTGTGTTGTTCCACATTCGTCTACCTTTCAGTCTTTGCATGTTTTATATGTAACATCCTGTGTTTTTAGCTGTATTTGTGCATGGTGCATGGATAGGGATAAATGTGTCTGCTCCATTTTGACCAGAACCCAAAGTCTCCTTGGTATCTGCTTTTTTACCAAGCTCCCAGGTGCTTCTGGGGTACAGCCACATTTGAGAAAAAGCAAGAAGAGGCTCTGAACCAAAGAACCAAACCATGGGGCAGCCCGGTGGATCAACAGTTTAGTGCCACCTTCAGCCCAGGGTGTGATCCTGGAGACCCTGGATCAAGTCCCACGTCGGGCTCCCTGCATGGAGCCTGCTTCTCCCTCTGCCTGTGTCTCCTCTCTCTCTCTGTCTCTCATGAATAAATAAATAAATCTTAAAAAAAAAAAATAAGAACCAAGCCGTGAGTGCCAGGAGCCCCCAAAGTCTTAACTCATTCCTGCATCAATTCAAAATTATAAGTCTAAAGTCTCATCACCATGGGATATGGTGAACTAGGGCTTCCTGAAACCTTGGGTACCTAGTGGTTTGCAGACCCTGATCCTGGGGGCTGTCACGGCTAGTGGTCAGCAACAAGGACATGAGGCCAGAGTCTTGGACCTCCATTTATCTCAAAACAAAACCAAGCACCTTTAATTTCTTATATTCAAGGGTATTATAGTGGGTTGAATAATGCCCCCCCCCCAAAATTCATGTCTACCCAGAACCTCAGAATGTGACATTATTTGAAAATAGGGTCTTTATACATAATTAGTTAAGGATCTTCTTTTTTTTCTTTTTTATTTATTTATGATAGTCATACAGAGAGAGAGAGAGAGAGAGGCAGAGACACAGGCAGAGGGAGAAGCAGGCTCCATGCACCGGGAGCCTGACGTGGGATTCGATCCCGGGTCTCCAGGATCGCGCCCTGGGCCAAAGGCAGGCGCCAAACCGCTGTGCCACCCAGGGATCCCTAGTTAAGGATCTTGAGATGAGATCATAATGGATTAGTGTGGGCCCTAAATGTAATGAAAGTGTCCCTATAAGAAACAGGAAAGGACACAGAGGAACAGAGAAGG